CCTGCCTGACCTCGAGGGCTCCCCTTCCTCTCTCCCATGCAGCAGAGTCCTCCTAACCCCCCACAAGGCTGGGCCCCGGATCCCTGCAGGCTTGATCCCCAGTCTTGCCATGGTCACTTAGGACAGGGGTGAGGGTTCCCCACTCCGGGGCACTCTCTTTGCACCAGCTGCTTCCCTGGTTCACTGATCAGTACATAGAGTTCAGAGCACATACAATTTATTAAACAGCAACTGTTTATAAAAAAATAAGTAAAAATGGGGAAGGTTACAGGAAACAAGTCACCCATCCTGTGGGCACGGGGACACCACAAACAGCCGCCTCTGCACGGGAAAAGAAGTTCACAGTCTGTTTCTCATGTGTTCCAGGTCTCTTTCCCAGGCCCTGGTCACACCAGGCTGATATCACAGAGTGACAATCTGTACCTCAAAGTAGCACCATGGAGCCCCCCTATTGACCTCTACGATAGAATTATGATCGGTTGGGTACAAAGTTGCCTTGTGAGGCATCATTTTAAAGTCTTGATATATATATATATGGAGCTATACCTATGTCATAGAACTGGAAGGGATCCTGAAAGGTCATCGAGTCCAGCCCCCTGCCTTCAGTAGCAGGACCCACTACTGATTTTGCCCCACATCCCTAAGTGGCTCCCTCAAGGATTGAACTCATAACCTTGGGTTTAGCAGGCCAATGCTCAAACCACTGAGCTATCCCTCCCCTCCTTAGACATACATGTCCTGTTGCATTGTATGTGCTATCATTGTGTGGGACATTATGAAGCATTGCTCTGTGTGCTAGTGAAATATGTTGCGAGGTTGGCAGATGCCCACAGCTAACCCTTCAACTGCAACAAAGGATCAGGAAGACACTGTTAATCGCTCATCAACACCCATCAAGGAAAGAATCCACTATCCCAGAGACTGTGTACAATGGAGATTGCTGGACCAATGGGGCATCCCTGATCCCCACATCACAGAAAAGATCTTTCCAGCAAACTGGAAGAAAATATAAAAGAGGGGAAGGGACATAATCTCTGGGCTTCTCTTCCCCACAACTCAACACCTGGAGGAACATGTGGAGGACAAAGACTTTGAATTGGGGAAGGGTGGTCCCAGGCTGGGATGGAGTCCAGTCTGGGTATTGAGGATCTGTAACCTGCTTGTACCATCTCTCAGGGGGAGACACGGCCTGATTCAAATCCTGTTTCATTTGTAGAACTTAGACTGCAAATATATTTTTGTTTCTTAAGTAACCAACTCTGATCTCTGCGCCTGCTTCTGATAACCACTTCAAATCTCTCCTGCAGTTAATAAACCTGTTTTATATTTGACCTAAAACAGTGTGTTTTGGTTGAAGTCCTTGGGAAATCTCAGCTCAGTACCATTCTTTGGCACTGGGATCTGGCCAACCAAAAACCCCACTAAGTGTCAGTGAGGGGCCAACACTCCCCTCACATGAGCAAATGGACAGACAGAAGGCGGGGG